TGAACCTTCTAAAAAACATTCTTTAAAACTATGATTATTTACCAAATGGCAGAAAAGTTATACTAACTGTCATATGTCAAAATGAAACTACACAACTTTTCCGAATTATTAATTAGTTATCAAAGATTAATTTTTATTTAAAATTAAACTAAAATATTATAACAATTAGACGATACATGAAACATATTTATTTGTTTCCCGGGAACTGGTACTTGGCATTGAAGTTCTGCAACTTGACTGAACTTCCTTCGAAAGACGGATGCAAACTCTGGTGCGTCTTTGATACTGGCCGGGATGGTAAGGACAAGTGAATAGTTATCTGGAAGCTCAAGTAGATCTTGCCATTCTTCAGTGGTAACACCATGTGTTCCTTTACCGGTACCTTTATAGGCACCTATGAATTCCTTAAACGTGAGATCAGACACATCTTGGACTTGGTTTACTTCCACCTCTTCATCTACGTCGTGGTCACCTTCGAAAGACGCCAGCCGTTTATGATGTATTATCATCGGCTTTTCCCTCGGAATCTTGCTTATTCGGTAGATGACATCGTTGATCTTCTCCATATTGAGGTATGGATCTTCCCAAAACTGCTGTAACTTGGGAGAACAACCTTTTCGTTTATCGTATCGTTTCTTCATTTGGTCGCTAGCGATCTGAAGGTGGGAACAGACCAAGTCGTGTACATCGTCCATTCTTCTTCGTAGTTCGATCACATAATCTTTACCTGCTATATCTTCTCCAAGTCGACACCCAAACTCTAGATTACAAGGTAGTCGCATCTCGAGTCCGAATAGGACTCTGGCTGGTGTCTGGGCTGTTGATTCGTTAAAAGCAGATCTGTAGGCCATTGTGAAGAACGGAAGATATTGGTCCCAGTCTTGCTGATGATCGGACACCATATTTATCAAATACTTGCACTATCCTATTCATCCGTTCTACCATACCATCCGATTGCTGATTGATGAGCACACAGGATATCTTTATATACTCATATATATATATATATATATATATATATATATATATATATATATATATATATATATATATATATATACAGCGTAGGAAAAATTTTATGGTCGGTATGGTAAAATTTAACAGGATATCTAACGCAGATATAAAATCATATTTTCAGCGAATAGACAAAGATAACAATCATATTTCCCCTTGGTCTCCCCTCCTCAAATATTTTTAACACCTATTGGCCATTAGTGAGACGAATAGTTCCGATCAGAGATATTTTACATATTCTCTGGTTCCGATCCTAATATACCTAAAAAACTAGAGGTGGGTCCTCCCGTTTTTTAAATTTTTATCGGAACCGTTTTTCGTAAACTGTAACTAGTTGATTCAAATTAGCGAGTACACAAACATATTGGCTATTATCGTTTATGTGTATAAGTATTGAAGTGAAAGAACCTAACGAAGGATATATTTATTATAACTTGAAAAATAAATTAAACAATACAAATAGTACTTACATTTACATTAAATCGTACTTACATTTACATTACACGTTATTATTAAATCGCGAATCGTCTAAATTGACATTTAAAAACAAGTTTTTCTACTTTTCTTGTTAACCGTGTTCTTCTTTTATTTAAAATTAAACCAGATTTTAAACATGTGTTCACAAGGAAAAGATTTTGTTACAATTCTACAATATTTTATGAATATAGTGGCTAAGTTAGGATATACATGGCGATGGTTTTTCCACCACGGTAATGGACAGTTCCAATCTCCGTTCGAAATTTATTGTGGGTAATATATTATCAGACAAATACATGTCGACTTCTTGTATATCTCTCGATACAGTTGTATGTTTAGATGAGTCATGTCCAATTAATTCATCAAAAATACACAATGGACTTAAGTCATCTTCATCAGTTTCTTTTTCTTGACTAAACTTATTGATTTACTAAACTTATGCAAAGACTCGTTTCATCCGTTTTCTATAGGTGAAGAACCAGCTTTTAAAAAGTTTGCAGGGTGGATTCCTGGATATAAACCGCCAACAAGAAAAACTGTTAGATTCATTACTTCAGGAATGTTATGTCAAAACTGATTTGATAATAGATAAAATAAAAAGTTATTTTTTCGACAATTCTGCAAAAAACATTAAAAAAAAGTACCTTATCTTCAGAAAGGCTTTTAAAGTATTAATTACAACATAACAAAGTTCCCAAACGGCCAATCCAAGACGTGGAAACTAGGTTGAACTTCACCTATTACAGGTTAAAAAGAATGACTGAGTTAGAAGAGGCAATCCGTTTCACTTCTTCTTTTTTAAGTTCCACCTTCTATCGAAGGTTGGAAATCATCATGGCTATGCCGACTCTGTTGACTGCCGCTCTAAAAAGGTCTGCACTACTGCATTCAAACCATTCCCTTAAGTTCTTAAGCCAGGATATTTTTCGTCTTCCCACATTTCGCTTTTCTCGGATTTTGCCCTGCATAATAAGTTGTAATAATGCGTATTTTTGCCCTCTCATCACATGTCCCAAGTACTCAAGTATTCGTCTTTTAATAGTTAATATTATTTCTGCCTCATTTCCTATCCTTCTAGTTACTTCAATGTTTGACATTTTTTGAATCCATGATATTCGTAGGATTCTTCTGTAACACCAAAATTCAAAGGCGGCCAACTTATTCAGATGAACTTGTTTTGGTGTCCAAGCTTTCAGACCATAAAGAAGAGTAGAGAACACGTAACATCGAAGCATTCTCAGGCGTAGTTCTAACCTTATATCCCGACAACAAAGAAACTTTTTAAGTTTAATAAATGATGTACGTGCTATTTCAATACGTGTCTTAATTTCTTTGGTTTGGTCTACATCTGATGTTATCCATGTTCCTAAGTATTTATAGTTATTAACACTCTTAATTGGAGTATCTTCAATAGTCAATTGGATATTTGTGCAGATTTAGTCATGATCATGCATTTAGTTTTCTTTAAATTTATCTTCAGTCCGTACTCATGACAGCGTTCATTAAGGCGTTGCATTAGGTTCTGTAAATCATTGTTGTTATCCGTAATTATTACTGTATCGTCTGCAAAACGTAAGTTATTCAAAACTTCTCCATTGATAGATATACCTTCTATTGAGTCTGGGAGCGCTTCTCAAAATACCGATCACTGTAGACATTGAAAAGTAGTGGGGACAGCACGCAACCCTGACGGACTCCTCTCTGTATTTTGATATTTTCGGTGTACTGGCGTGTATTTCCATTCCACATCGGTATTAAATAATACAGACTTAGACTTAGACCAAATCTAAATAATGAAGACTAGATTATTTTTTCGTAATTGTCCCAAATTTTACGGTCTTTTAAAGAAATAACAAGTACAATGAGTGGCCAAAAATACTTGAATGATAGTTCAGTGATTGTTCTGGTACCCTGCCTGCAAAAATCTTGCAATACAATTTTAGCAAACAGTAACCTTACATCCATAGTATCCGATGTAGTACGGGTTTTTATTACTAATTACGGGATAATTACTTATCTCTTTTTTAGCAAAAAGATTTAGAGGGATAGAATACAGTGGCATATTGTCATTATGTACGTTTATGGATTCACGATTTAAAGTGCAGGGATTTTCTGATAAAAATGACGCTAAAAAAACAAAAGAAAGAGTTAAGAAGCTGGTTACTTCTATAATTAAAGAACAAGAAGATTATACTATTGAAAATCAACCAGTATAAGAAAAAGAAACCGATAAAGATGACCAAGTCCACGGTGTATTTTTGATCAATTAATTGGACATGACTCATCTAAACGTACACCTGTAGCGAGAGTCCATTACAATGGTGGAAAAACCATCGCCATGTATGTCCTAACTTAACCACTATATTCATAAAGTATTGTAAATGTGAACACATGTACAAAATCAGGTTTAATTTTAAATAAAAGAAAAACACGGTTAATAAGAAGTAAAGTACAAAAACTTATGTTTTTAAATGTCAATTTAGGCGATTCGTGATTTAATAATAACGTGTAATGTAAACGTAGGTACGATTTACTATTTGTATTGTTTAGTTTAGTTTTCAAATTATAATAAAATCTTTTATTAGTTTCCTTCACTTCAATAAATATACACATAAACGATAATAGCCATTATGTTTGTTTATGTAGGTAGTTTCTTACTTGAAACTACTATTAAAAAATCATAGTTACTTGTTTACGAAAATCGGTTTTGCGACGTTAATGACCCACCTCTATTCGTAAATACCTGTGTACCCCTTGATTCGGTGATTTGACCACGCGACACGCCACGTTGGCAAATAGTTTTGTACGAAGCTTTTTTATTTATATGCAGTTTAATATTTTTATTGGAAATAAGGCATAATGTCACTTTAAAATAAGCTTATTTTGATGTTTGTGTAGATTTTTAATTAGGAAATCGTTTTTAAAATACCAAACATTAATAAATTTTATTTATATAAAACGATTTCCGAAGTATAAATCAAAATGATATATTACACTTATTGTAAAGTAAAATTGTGACATATTCCCAATAAAAAACAATAAGCTGCCATTTAAATCCATTTCGTCCAAATTTCATTATCTTGGAGCATTGTTCAAATGCGAAAAAGACAAGGTCAAATAAAACCAATAAGTTTGGCAACATTGAATTTCCCCTTTTTATTATATCCACTCCATATCCACTCATTTATGTTCGGTGATATAAAAGGCGGACACCTAATATATCTCTCTCTTTTTACACAGTTGTTTCTCACTCCATCTCATGTAAGGTCCATACCGACCATAAACTTTTACCTATACTGTATATATATATATATATATATATATATATATATATATATATATATAGTTACATATAAAACTCAGGTAGCTAAATTAAATAATCTAATAGACGATACTACAAATATGAGATGTTACAACCGAACCATGAATGATTTTAAATAAATAAAATTAAAAATTGAAACTACTCGTATATTTTGCGAAATAGCATATATCTTATTTTTCTTTTTCAGTATATGCGTCACAGTAGTAGTTCTGAACGTCCATTTTCGTTCACCACAGACACACGTGATGGCACCATGGGTGCGGAGAGTCTTCATCCACATTCTTCCACGACTTCTCGTAATGCGTCGACCTCATTATCAGTTGGACAGTAGAAGGTAAGCTTGTTGTAAGAAAATGTAAGAAAATACAACAGTAGAGAAAATTACAGTAGATGAAATTAAAATAAAAAAGTGGTACACTAGGCGGTAGTGTAGACTAGTAAATAATATATTTAAAATTAAATAAATTAATTTTATTACTTATTTATCACTTTTTAAACATTTTTTTATAGATTTTAATAAAATTGAAAAAGTTTACATCTTGTATAACGGACTCCCGTCCTACTACGAATGAAGACTAGAGGAAAAGTAATAAAACGCTAGAATAGAAGCTTGGCTTCAAAAGCCTTAGATTTGCAATACAATTATGACGAACAAAAATTTATTTTTTACTAAATTGGTTGGTCTAATATGGAGAGGCACTTAACACATTGCCGGCCACGTCAACCAAAAACGACTGACAGTATTTTTTTGTCGGAGGCCATGTCGGTCATTTATAACTGTCATTAGTTTTTCGTTAACCCCACACAATATTAACGGGAATAATATACTGTTATTACGATAAAGTTATTGTTTAAAAAATGATTTCTTAAAATTTAAATTCGTCACTCAGTTTTGCCTAGACTAACACAAAGAAAAACAGATTACAGATAAGAATATTCAGGGAACAACTAGTTCAAACAATGTTAGATGTAGACGAAAAAAAAAACAAACCTATAAAGAAGACAGGACATACATTGGTCCAAAGTTAATATAAAGAATGGCAAATAATTCTTCTTGTGTGCAAGTCTTGTTACAAAAATATAATGACTACTATAAAAAGAGTAGAAGCCAGAAAAAAGGTACAAAAAGTAGATACTTATTGCTTATATATTGCTTACTTATTAAAAAGTACGTTTTTCTTGTAATTTTTCATTATTTTTTCTTGGAGTGCCACCAGTTTTTATATGAAGTTTTACTGGCACTACCTTAAAATAGTAGTATATAAAAACATATACACTCACATAATTAGTGACAAAAGTGGCCTCTTTGATATTTGTTAAAAAAGAGATAGTGGCAGGCAATGTGTTAAAGCAAGAGTAGAAGATGACTTGAAGATCAGAGAGTTTCGGAGCTGGAAGGATAATTTATTTTTACTTGGATAATCAGTTGAAAATAGACTAGAAAGGAATCTAAATACCCATCTTGTTTTTGTTGACTTAGAGAAAGCTTATGATAAACTACCCATAATAAAACTATTTGAAGTTTTAAGAAATAGTAACTTAAAGTAAATATATGTGAAAGCTATTTATAATATTTATAAAAATAACATAGCAGTAATAAAAGTGGACACAAGAACTTCAGAATTTTTGAGAGTAAATAAAGGATTGAGACAAGGCTGCTTATCCATAATTCTATTTAAAATATACGTTCAGGAGGCACTAGATACCTGGCGAAGGAAGTGTTACATACAGTAGACTCGCGATTATCCGAGTCCCGACTAATCGACTCTCTGAATTAACCGAGGTAGTAATTCAAAAGAACAGATTATGTAATCAATTAGCTTGGAGAGAGAGAGAGAGAGAGTAAGTGCCAGCGCACACGCAAGTAAATGCGTGTTCGCTGGCTGTTGGTATGCTGAAGAGATGAGTCACTAGCAAGTTATATTGTTCTAGCCCATGGTACGAATAATTATTCTTTGTAACATGACTCTAGCCACTATGCTTCTTCTGGCTGCTTCCCCACTCACTCCCCCATCTGTCAGTTTAAGTCATCACAGCTAGCTGTTCGGTTTGTCCCACTGTACGCTCTTACAAGTCCATTCATGTCTTCTCTTTGTGTAGTTTGTACATAACTTAAAGTGTTATATGAGTTTAAAATGTAAATGAGTTGTGATTTCTTTAGAAACAAAATTAAGTGCTATACAACGCTTGGACAAGGGCGAGCCAGCTAAAAAAAGTTGCTGCTGATCTATGCGTTGGAGAAGTGACTGAGGGAGATTGGAGACTGAAACGAAAAGATATTGAACAACGGGTTAATAAAAGTGTGAGTAGCAGAAGTAATTTGTTGTGGAAAACTATGAAGTAAGGAAAATACGAACAGACTTCTGAAGCCTTATTCTTATGGTTTTCTAATCTTCGAGGGTTGGGAAGTCCAATTAGTGGCCCCATGCTTCAAGCTAAGGCTGACGAGTTTCACAAATGGTTTAAGGATGGCAGGGAAAATTTTACTGTAAGTGATGGATGGAAAATATTGAATTTTTAAGCATGATCTAATGTGAAATGTACAATTTTGGTGATTTTACCAATAAAAAATTTAACATTTTATTTAAAATTTAGCATGAAATATCTTGTTTTACTTTAAATAACATATCCCATAACCCTTCAGGGATGCGCCTCTGCCCACGCGAGCTCGGCTTTTTCTCCCAATCCTCTTCCGGGAGAGAAGCGGATCCTAATCCCTAAATCCTACCCACCAATCCAGACCTACCCAAATCCTGTCCTTTCCTCCTCAACCCGCACTGGACCAGCGTGAGGAGATAACGGTCCAAACCTTCAAGTCAATGTACAGGACAAAAAAGAAAAGGCCCTCAGTGCCCAGCATTCCCCAGAGTCTTGATCACGGCAGCGATTAAACAACTAACTAATTGTTGGCTCTACAGATGGAAAAAGAGGTATGGCATCCGACAACTGAATATTTCGGGTGAAAAACTTCCGACCGATTCATTTGAAATTGAGCCATTTAATTTAAAATTGAGAGATCTTATTTTAGAGATTATTTCCTCACGTCAAACCAAATCTTCAATTGTGACGAAACCGATCTCAATTTCCAACAAGAACACAGCCCAAAGTGAAAAAACTGCGCCTGGATAAAAAAAAAGCAAAGAATAAGTAACTCTTGTGGTGTGTAGCAACTCTTCTGGATCCTTACAATTAAGACATCTACTTGAAAAATTGAATAATCCATGGGTTTTTAAAAATATTTAAGTAAACTACCTACCGACAATGTACAGGAATCAACTTAGTGCATGGATGGATTGCCACATTTTTAAAGATTGGTTTTTTGAGTTCGTTTGCGTTGTTGAAGCCTATATAAAAAGAAAAGCCTACCAAGAAATGCTTTTCTTCTTTTGGACAACGCGCCATCTCATTCAGATACAAGTTCGTTGGCTAGCGGTGAGAATAAAGCTGTTTTCTTGCCAAACGTCACATTTCTCATTCAGGGAGTTTTAGAAGCTATGAAATGGAACTATCGCCAATGGCTTCTCTAAGTGTTTTTGACCTGGTTGGATAAAGGAGCGACAGTGACAGAAGTCCTCAAAAAGATCACGAAAGCTTTTTCAAATTGAAGCTGCGGAACTGCCGGTAAATGATGAAGCCATCAACGAGTGGATTATGAAAGATCAATTAATGGAACTGACTGATGATGCAATCGCCGTGACAGAATCGCGGAATTTTTTGAATTGGAAGCTATTCCTTCCAAATAGGTACGTGTACGTTGTGGTACATTAGAATTAGAGTCGATTTGAGGTGGAGACTGAATAGTTTAACAAAGCTTTAGAAAACCTTAGCCTCCATCTATCCCTAACTTATAGTTAATCATCGACAATCCACGATTCTTTTGTGTAAACTCAATTAGACCAAAAATATCATTGCAACAAACTGCACTTTTCGAAATCATCCTAATATCTGTTTTTTGCCATTTTCCAGATCAAAATATTTAATATCGAAATAATCATCAATTGAATAGATCTTTTCGAATAGCTTTTCTTTCAAATCTTTTTTAACCGCAGTTCTGCTGCCAGTAGCTTTCAGTGGCGCACCCAGGGGGGTTGGGAGTTAAACCCCCCCAGGACCCTATTCCGACAGTGTTATTCACAAATTTTAAGGACGTAAAATGGTGGAGGTAGCATAAAAAAATTTCGGTGCCCGACCAAAAACCCCCCGCCCCCAGACCAAAATTCTAAAGTTGCAGTAAATTGTTAAAGTTGCAAATTGTAGTGTTTTTCTTTGACTCAAATTTAAATCGCATTGAATCACATTAAAATCATTAGCAGAAAGGAATTTCTTATTGTGACTTTGATAAAATTTATACTTGACGATTTTCCCCGAATATTTTAGAGCGTCGTGGTATTAGTAGTTTTTCCCTTAGAATCATTTAATTTCGATTTTATAATATTTAACAAGGAAGAGAAAATAACTTTTTTTATATTCATTTATCCAAAATATTTGCAACATTGAGCACAAATTGGGAGGAGTTACATTTGTGTTGTATGCCCCTTCTGACGTCAATAAGGAAATATTGAATTTTTAAGCATGATCTAATGTGAAATGGACGATTTTGGTGATTTTACGAATAAAAAATTTAACATTTAATTTAAAATTTAGCATGAAATATCTTGTTTTACGTTAAATAACATATCCCATAGCCCTTCAGGGACGCTTTTTCTCCCAATCCTCTTCCGGGAGAGAAGCGGATCCTAATCCCTAAATCCTTCCCACCAACCCAGACCTACACAAATCCTTTCCTTCCCTCCTCCACCCGCACTGGACCAGTGTGAGGAGATAACGGTCCAAACCTTCAAGTCAATGTACAGGACAAAAAAGGAAAGGCCCTCAGTGCCCAGCACTTCCCAGAGTCTTGATCACGGCAGCGATCAAACAACTAAGGAAGGGGGGTGCTAAGAATCCCTCGGTAAGACCCGGCTGCCACAAGATGACAATTTGGCTATGCTCCTACAATACTCGAACAGTGACGGACGACAATAGATTCCCAGAAATGGAAAGTGAACTAAAGGATATAAAATGGGATATCCTTGGTATATGCGAGACCAGAAGAAAAAGTGATGAGTATATAATACTAAAAAATGGCACACATTTTATGCATAAAGGTGGCGAATACACTGGAGTGGGATTCTTGGTAAAACAAAGCCTCACACAGTGTATCGAAGAATTCAAGCCCATATCAGACAGAGTAGCATATCTCATCATCAGGATTAATAAAAGAACCACTCTGAAAGTGATCCAAGTGTACGCCACAACGATGAAGAAGTAGAAATATTTTATGATAAAATAAGA